TGCAGGTTGCATCACATTTGTTGTGGGTTGCATCACATTTTATGTGAGTTGCATCACATTTTATGTGAGTTGCATAACATTTTATGTGGGTTGCATCACATTTTATGTGAGTTGCATAACATTTTATGTGGGTTGCATCACATTTTATGTGAGTAGCATCACATTTTATGTGAGTTGCATCACATTTTATGTGAGTTGCATCACATTTTAATGTGGGTTACATCACATTTGATATGGGCTGCATCACATTTGATTTGGGTTAGATGACATTTAATGTGGGTTACATCACATTTGATATGGGTTGCATCAAATTTGATTTGGGTTGCATCCCTTTTGTTGTGTGTCCCTTCGTGTGTGATGTTGATCGCATCTAAGTTTAGTAACAAGGATCTCATGAGAATCATCACGTAACGTACGTTTCTAGAAATATTATTGCAAATGATTGAGTCTGAATAAATTTGTAATGTTCATCTTAGATTGTTTTGCTCACGTTCTTGCATATTCCCAAAACTTGTATCACTGAATGGTACAATTTTTTGCCAAACCCTAATTTTGGAGCCAACAGACAAAATTTGAGTCAATTTCTAGTTTTTACTCCAAAAAATTGTCTATTTTTGTCCCAATCTGAAAGAAAGTGCAGACTATAAACGGGACTATTTTGTGAATTTGTGATGCAAAGAGGGAACTGGTCATGAAAAGGTTAGATCGAGATTTACTACTGAAGCAAAAACTCGTGGCTAATTTGTGTTTGCAGGAAATCTGTTACGGTTCTCACGCAGCGTGTGTTCAAATTTTATTTGAAACAATGTATTTTACACTTAATGTATACATCACTATGGAAACCATTAAATATCACTATTAAACATCCTTTAAGGTAATGTTTAGTTTAAAGCGGGGGAGTCGTAACCTGCACATGTGTCAGATGACCATAACGTGTCATTGTTTACAAACAAGCGTCTACCCATGACCCTTTGCGTTTTTAGCGTGTGTTGTTATCGGCGCTTGGGACTCAATGTCACTGCTGTCTCTTCTGACTTTTTTCTATTTTGTAAGTGCAAATTGCAAGTGCTAGTGCTGACACATAGTGCATTTTGCCACAGAAGTCATATTCATGTTTTGGGACTACATGACAGGGCTGTGTGGACATCTCTCTGTGAAATGGCAATTTTATACTGGCGTCAACCAGGCTCGGTCAAACACAAGCACCTGCGGACCTTAATCAAGATTCCCCCAAAGTCGCATTCGTTAGTGAATGAATCTCGGCCAGTTAGTTTTTATCATGATTTCTTCTGTTAAATTATTATTTGTAGTGTGTTTATTAGTTTATTTTGACCAAAAATGTGATATTTCTCCCTAAAATGCAATAACCTACTGCTTGACAGCAATAGAAAACTTGTTTAATATGAAAATAAATTTACACTGATGTCACCTTTAATTCGTAATATTAACATTTATATTTTCATTTTATTTATTGTTAATAACTTACTTCAGCTAAATAATTGGACACTAGGAAAATATTAATTTTATTTTCATTTATTTTTTTTTTTTTAATATACCGGTACATAATTTTTTAGAAAACTTTCCTGCAGAAAAAAACAGAAAACATATTTATTCAACAAAGCCTACAGTGTGGAATAACTCCCTCAGCGCCTTTGAACAGAACTTTTTTTTGCATCCAGGCACTTTATAAATGTTTTTGATTGGTTGATTGCCTGTATACTGTTTGTGTGCGTACGGTGAAGAATTCTTGTAATAAACTTAATAGTATACATCTTCCTAATCCAACCATACTGTGACGCCCAGAATGTTTGCCCTTCGAGTTGTTTAAAATATTAGGACTCGCGGGACGCAAGAAGGATTTGTCAGTGATTTTCTTCCTGAATTGCATTGTGGGATATAATTATACAAGTAATGAAGTAATCATTGGGTTGGGTGCTGGGCGGGAGGGAGGGAGTTAGTCGAATTGTCGGTAACATTTGGAAATACTATGACAGAACCCCACACCCTCCC